CGACTTCATCTTTTAGTCATTTTGATTTATTTTGCCGGCCTTTTTCGAGGAATTTTTACTTGTCAAAACTTCAAGAATTTTAACCAAAAACAATTTTTTATTTGTTTGTGTCGTTTTCACTACAAGTCAAGAGAATACGAAGTAGTATTCTTAATATTCTCTTGCTACAAGTGTAACTGTTATTGATTGGGATTGATCGAAAAATTGTCTGGTTGAACCTTAAACAAACCTTTGAAAAACGTACAACAGTACTGAGATACGACTGAATTTAAGATGATCATCATGACTGCATGCCGTTACTCGCACCGTGTTCGGGTTCAACACAACAGCAATAGCATCTGAATTCAAATTTGTTCTGAGGCACTCGCTTCTTTGCCAATTTTTGGAATTATACGATTGAAGGTTAAATATTAACCGATTAAGTTTCTACGAGGTCCTAAAGGTGAGGTGTACCATATTGCATTTGATAAAATAAATAAAAGGTAAAACCAGGAGTTTAGCTATTGCACTGAATTTTGACGTCGGTTTTATGTCGCTTTTATACCGACATAGAGAAGAGGGCTTTTCGTTCGAAAATGCCTTTGTAAAAGGCATATGTTGCCGCGCTCTTGACAAAAGCGAGGGGACTGGGTTTGAAAAAACAGGGGGGAAATTAGCAAAATACAAATAAAAAGAGAAAAAGAAAAGAAAAGAAAAGAAAAAAGAAAGAAAAAGAAAAGAGAGAAAGTAAAAAAGGAAGAAAATCGATCCGCAAGTAAATGACTGCAATAATAAGAATGAAGTTTGATCTTAATGAATTTTAAAATATTTTGGCAAATGCTTAGACTCTACTGTCACTGGGCTTCCTGTGGTACAAGAAAAACATCAACACAGGTAACCCATGACTACGAAAGAAAACCGGTAGCAAACTTGACTCCCGTGACGTCACTCATTTATTCACGTGATTAACTTTGTATTTTCTTTCGCGTGGCCAGGTCAGCCTCAACCTTGACCGTAATGTGCAGCGACCAAGCATCGTGATTGATTCACCATCGATTTTTGAATGCACGCTACGCTAAATAACCTATCAGAGCGCGTTACRTCGTGGCTATGTTTTAAATTAATCTTTATTTACCTTAACTTAAAGCAGTACTTACTCCCTAATTCGCAGAAAATCTGTGATTGACTGACTTCATTCTGACGTCATTCCTCTACCCAGGCTCTTTTTCGACTCGTCCAAGTCGTAGGGAGGGAGGTTCCTGTTCAGATCAATTTGAGAAAAATTTTAATTTTTCAAAGTTTATTTTAGTTTAAAAGATCTATTTACCCTGGGCCTCATGTTTGCCATTTCAGATCACGTGTCATTCTCTTGAGAATAAGATTATTACTGGGTTGCCTGTGGCAGCCCAGTCTAAAAATGCGTTGCGTTTCTCCGTATTTTCATGCGTCAGAAAATGCCAAAATTGCGCAATAGTACCCAGGGGTCTTCACGGCTCTACCCAAGAGTCCTTTGCGGACATATGATACAAAGATCCCGTGTAAAGTCTGATTTATATTCAAACAGTTACCAATCAATGTCTAATTTATCAAAGTAATTGATTGGGGGTGGGGCTGCGAATCACGTGTCGGAAATAAATGTCTACGCATATTCTTTTTTCGTTAGTTGCTAAAATTCAAGAGGGTTCAGTGCAGGATTAGGCATCATTACTCGGGTGAATGAACTGAGCAAGAAAGTTCAAGATGCCGTGAAGAAATCTTTCTTTTATTTGCCTACATATATTTTTAATTTTGCTTCTCAAAGCAGTTTCACTATTCTACATTCTATTATCTTAAAAATCAAAAACGGAAAAAAGAGCAAAAGCGTGAGTAGGTATAATGTTTTGGTCACCCATCCAAATGCTAACCCTCCTCAGACGAGCTTGACTCAGTATCTTGAACGACAACGATTTATCCACTCGACCACGGTTCCAGGTGAATCAGCATAACAATAGCCGTGCAAACAATGCACCGAATAGACTAGACTTTTTAATGTTATATTTTCAACCGATTCCGTGCGTGGCAGAGATGCAAGGGATTAGCCGATATGGTCTGGGGGCCGGCTGGTCTCTCCCCTGATGCTTTGGCTAGAACATTTTCTTGCGTAATTCGTGCACCCAAGGGCAGAAGGATTTAATCGCCGTCAGGTCCGAAGTCCATACGCCGCCTCAGCTCTGCGGATGTCTCGGGGGTATGGCACAATGGAATCGTATTTTTCGAATTTCTTTTGGTGCGTTCTAATCCCATCTTATCCATATAAGATTTTTCTTTCTTTCTTTTCTTTCTTTCTTTTTTTTTTTTTTTTTAATCCATTTTGGTATTAGATTGAAATATTCAACAATGAGGCAATCTTTTTAGTTCCATTATCTTTTGATTAACATTGCAAACTTCTTCAGCTGTACCAGGCTTCTGTGTATGATACAGACAACCCAGTGAACGTCTATTCTCTACTTTCACATCCCCATTATGCCTTACGTCTTTGGGGGGTAACCAATCAAAAAACTGTCCCAAATTGAAAGGTTTCTTAATTGAATTTATACTATACCTGCTTTTATCTGTACAATACTGTTTATCAGTTTATTCAAAGTTATTTTTGCGTCTACAGATCATCAAGAGTTTTTGTCTTACAGAAAATGTATTGACTTACGAAAAAATGTTTAAAATTTACCTTAAACGTCTTTAAGCTTCTATCTTTTTCTGTTTTTTACTTCTTCATTTTATCTTTGGATACCAAACAAGGTATTGTCATTATTGTCTGATCAGCCTTTAGCAAAATAAGTGGGTTTTTACCCTCTGGTTACCCCCAAAGACGCAAAGTATTATGGGGATGTGAAAGTAGAGAATAGGGCGTCTTGTTCGTTTGAATGGCATCCATATTCATGTGTCTTTTCATGCGCAAGTATTTGAAAAAACTGCAAAACATAACGCCCAATCACTATATTGCAAGTCTGTCACAGCAGGCCGATAGGCGCTTTACAATAATTGTTAAATAACTGGGGGGAATGAAAAAACTTGAAAATCTAAGAGATCTAAGAGTATGTAATATATATATATATATATATATAAAGCCCAAATAAATTAGCCAATCAGCGAACATTTTGCTCGTTGCTCTATATTTCCTAGTTCCATGTGATCGGCTCAGTAAACAAATTTTACTCGAAAATGATAAAACCATGAATAGGGCGGCATAAATATGAGAGGGCAAGTTTTTAAAGATCAAAACAACGAACGGAAAGAGAACGCGCGCGTGCACTATTTGACGCACTGGAGTAGGGTAAGGCGAAATTTAAACTACATCCGGTTACTAAAAATAGGCTGACCGGGAATTTATATAACGCGCGCCACAATAAGAAGTTTCTCTTATTTATGCTCTAAAACTCATTAATGGAGATTAAAGATTCTCCCAATCGTTTGCAAATGGAATATTTCGTCGTTATGGTAAAAAGTATTTAGTTTCGGCAAAAGATAATAGGAAATATTTAGAATTTTTTTCTGTGCATTTGCACTCCTASAGATTCCAAAACACCTGGGCCCAGTTGTTTAAAGCCYGATTCGTGCTAATCCTGGGTTAACTCTTAATAAGACCTATAGGTTGCTATCAATAGACGTCACTTCCGGTAATAGCTCTTTTTGACGGCTTGTAGAATCCTGGAGGTCGTTTTGATCTCTTATTTTCTGGTTTGATGTCGTGAAAATAGTCAAATACAATAGTTTGAGGACTTATTTTGATATGTTTTGACTTAGCATCCACTAGTTGCCCCCCAGCCAACCGTTTGTTTGTCCCCCAGTCAACTTCAAAAAGTCGTCAGCGAAACTTCATTGAATTTAATGTAAATTTATTCCTCCATGACTAAAGAAGTTTTGAAGTTTGGAGCTACTTCTGAAACTGCAACCTAAACTTCACTGAAATGTTAAAAAGCGATGATTTTTTACGACTTCTTGCATGATTTTAGGAATAATTTTATTTGATTCAAATTTCTTATTTCATTTTCTTATTTTCAGCTTCTAAAAAATGAAATAAATAATTTATTAAATGTATAAAAAATATATTAAATATTAAATAGGATATCTATTCTTTTCATTCTCCTATTCATAGAGTCGTTTTATTATCCTCACGGGCTCCAGTATGAATATTACGCGTCGTCTGAAAAGACTACTCTGAATCTGGCAAATTAAAGGTGGTGTCAGTTCATTCATACCAGTTTTTTATTTATTTATTTATTTTTCTTATTCAAACATATTTATTCTCTGCATTTCCTCCAAGAGCTTAAAGCTCATCTAGGGAGATGACACAGATTTAATTTTACAATGTTTTTATAAGTAGAGGAGGAAAAAGCTAATTACAGGTTATATTACAAAATATACAAATTAAGAAAAAATGCATAATAACACGATTCATATCAGGTATTACGTAATAATCAATAAATGAAGTTAGTCCTATCGAGAATATCTCCTAAGTTCAAATTGGAATTTAGGGAAGCAAGGGAAAGGATAAACGATAAACCGCTCAAGTCACAGATGAAACCAACTACACGGGATTAATCGAGCCTAGGTAGCACTCCACCCATGCTTTACTCAAGGCAGGAGCAGGTGCAAGCTGTAAATCCATTTGGTTTTGAGAAACTTTTTTTTCGCAACATACTCCTCTTTGATCGTATTTATATCAAGATTTATTTTTATATTTACTTTATTCCCTTCTTATGAGTCATGAGTTCTTGTTGAATTCGTGAGGAACCGAGTTTCCCATTTTGAAGTGTTAATAAATAGACAAATATTGTATATTATTTTTATCATAATGAGAAAGTGCTTTGTTTTGTTAGGAATACTTTTGAGCGCCCGAATACGAAGCGACCCAGAAAYCCCTTGAAGAGAAGGTGCAAGCAACGTCACTGATGAATTACAAAACAACATAAACTGATCCGTATTCTCTAAGCTACGACAATTTAAGTGATTCAATTTAGCATCAATGCGATACTGATTTAATCATGATAGAGAAGAAAAAAAGTATATATTGGCTATTTTTCGTGTTGGCTTGTGTAGTTTTTAATACTGCAGAATGTTCGGGGAATAATACAACTACTAGCGATCGTGTGATTATCAGCCTTCATCGAGATAAAGTCAACAAGTTCGGCTATGCCAGCTTTGTAAAACACGTAAACACTTCACTCAACGTCTCTGTGGCCTTGAATGGCTTCGTTAGAAGGGCAGGGGAGTGTGCGTTCATCTGCGCTAACTCTTCTATCGRTTTCTCGTTTAATTTTGCCATCAATGCTGATATTCATGGAAGACATATTTGTGAGATTCTCGCTACGGATAAGTACAACGCCTCGGACAAGTTCGTCAGCAAAATTGGATTCAATCATTACAGTCTCTATGTAAGTCTATTAATCTTGCCTTTATTTTCAGTTTTTTATTTGTAAAGTAGTATTCACATAGTTTTAAAGATTACAAAGCCGCCTTCGTATTTACGAGGGAAGCACTTAATAGCCAGTGGCTAACAAACCTGTTGCCTTCGTTTCATGGACGAATTGGAGTTTAGAAGTTGATTTTTGTGGAGGGAGGAAAAACCGGAGAACCCGGAAAAAACCCTCGAAACACAGGAGAGAACAAACAAACAACTCTACTCACATACGATACCGAGTCTGGAACTTTGACTCGAACTCGGGTCGTATTGATGAGAGGACAAAAAAGACCTTCAAGCATCAACATTGGCTTCAAGAGTTTCTCTCCCTTTTGGTTTGTTTTGTTCAGTTTGTTTGTTGTTTGTTGTTTTTTTTCAGCGCAAAAATTGAACTTTGCAAAATGAGGGGAGCCTCACCTTTCTAAGCATAAAAGAATTCGAATTGTTTTCCAACTTGTGATACTTTCGTGTGAATGTCTTTAGTACATACAAGATATATAAGAAAACTTCGGGTAAAGCGTTAACTAACTATTCTTTTGTTGCCACACGTATTTTACAGAGTTTTTTTGTGACAACTGGTTTGAGGGTTTTGCAGTCAAACATTGAGTGTCGTATTTCCCTGTGTCTGTTGTCTGCGAGGCAGACCCACGAGTTAGCATCATCCCCGTATCCTAGTTCCTCGATTTTCCAAAGTTTTTCTTTTTTACTTGTCTTTTTTTTTTTTTCTTTTCTTCTTCAAAAATGTTCATGTCGAATTTGTTATAAAACGACAACCTTTTTGTTTGCCGCTTTTCCGTACAATCCAAATATGGAATTGATCATACTATATATGGAGTGAGCTTTCTCTACTCCAGCTCCGACACTAACTTATTAGAGTAAAGCTAGATATGTATTGAAGGCTTTGCATACTTCTTTGTTTTGATTACCAAACGAAAATACGAGAATTGTCCTAAAGAAAATACCCAGCTGTTGATATGAAAAACAATAAAATGGTTTTGTTTCACGAAATGAAAATAAGGTTAAGAGAAAATTTTTTTCAATAACAAGCAATAATGGCAAAAAGCGCCAAAAACTAGACTTTCGTATGAGTTTTGTTCCAATTTTCGTTTTGGGTTAACACTCAAAACCTTTTTTTAACAGTTAGAAACTGATGTACTATGATAAAATGCCTGTTTGAAGCGGTATTGTAAAGATGTTTTGTTGCATTTGTGTCAGGCTTTTTTTATAGAAAATATATGGGAAATAAGCAAATGAAGGCCTAAACCTCATTTTCGAATAAAATTTTTGCTTTGGGTTAACACTTTGATTCCTCTTTCATCGGTCATCTCCATTTCCAAACAAGTTAAACTTTCTGAATAACAAGATTTTAGCCTTGTACAACAGCCTTTCTTCAAGAAAATAGTTTTTGGCGCTCACCGCTTGAATACGATGTTCGCAGGAAGATTAGCTAAATACGTTTTGAGTTTTCCTTATTTTTAACACACCTACGATAACAAATATCGAGTAACTTTGATCCTAATTTAATCGAGAACAAACACTACCCATATTTAGTCCATGATCATATATTATCAATGATCTGTAACTATATATAGAGTATTCAGGTGTTAATTACGACAATGACAATCCTAACAAAACAGTACGTTGCGATACCGACAATAATAGTACTAAAAATACACTGAAAGAAATCTGGTGCTGACTACCGCCTCTTACCAATTCCACCCGTTTTCCATTCCCGGTCTCGGTGTCGTATATGTGAGTATAGCACATGATCCAGAACGTGGTAAAACGTAAAAGATAACGATATTAAAAGAGAGCAGTTTTCGTAAGACTGTAAAAAGCTCAGTGCTATAAGAGTGCCGTGTGCCATGACCGTCATGTTTTCTAGTATTTTTATAGGCTGATTTTTTTTTCTCGCGCAATGTGATTGGTCTGGTAGTTCCGTGACATTGGCGTGACCCTGTCAACGCCGTGTTTTCGGTATTTATTGATTGGATGGAGAGTAAATTGTCGCGCCATGTGATTGGTTTGGTGTTACCTTGGCGTGGCCGTTGCTTTATCACAATACCACGTGATGCCAAACGTAATGGTCTCTAACATGTTCTCTTGTCTCTAACCATAATGTGAATACCAAACACAAAAACATATACTCACAAGCTGTTATATTTGTAGAGTCCCTGTTCTTCATTCCCATGTTTGAATGGAGCGACATGCCATGCCAAGTACGAACACGGAACGTACGAGTGCCTATGTGTACCTGAATTTGGAGGGAAGTTTTGTGAAAATGGTGAGACACAACTATCATTTATACCGTCATATTCCCATAACATTTCCCATTTCAGACCACGTGTCATTCCCTAGAGTATCATTTCTTTGTTTAACGGTTATGCATGAGAAGACACATATATAATAGGGATACAGCTCAAACAAAAATATTTATTCTCAACAAAATGACACATGGTGTGAATTTTGAATCAAAACATTATGAACAAGGAAAGAGCTCTATTCCTAGTGCAGGACAATGAATCTTAATAGACTTCATATTTTATGTTGCAATGTTTTCCCATTTCAGACCACGTGTCATTCTCTTGAGAATAAGATTCTTTGTCTTAGTGGTATCCATATTCATGCGTCTTCTCCTGCACAACCTTTAAACCTAAATAATACTCTTGGGAACGTGGTCTGTAATGGGAAAACATTACACCATGAACAATAAAGTCCGATTCAGCTGCTTTTGAAAGAATAACGCCAAACGGCGCACTGCACTAGGCCAGTGGGATAGTTCATAACAGATGCTTCATATCAGTAACCTAAGCATTTAATGTGACTTAATTTCTTTATTCAAAGAGGTCAACGAATGTGCTAGCAATCCTTGCTTGAACATGGGTGTCTGTACTGATATGTTTGCTGCTTACCGGTGTACATGCCATCCGGGGTTCTCTGGCGATAGATGTGAAATAGGTAAGCTGAAATGATAATTGAATATCATCTAGTGCATTGAGATCATCGCCAAGCGTAACATGGATAGAAAGATGAATGAATGGGATGGATGAATAAATGGAATGAATGAATAAATAAATGGGATGAATGAATCAATGGGAAGAATAGATAGATCGATGGATCAATGGATGGATGCTACGGATGAATGAATGGATGGATTAGCTATGAATGGATTGGATGGGATGGGATGGAGGGAGGGAGGGAGGGAGGGATGGATGAAGGATGGATGGATGAATGAAGGATGGATGGATGGATGGATGGATTGAAAGGATTGATGACTGTGATGTGTTGGGCTTGAAGGATAGATGGTTGGATGGAATGGGATGAATGGGATGGGATGGGATGGATATTAAATATTCTATTTTTACCACACCAGTCACTCCAGGCGCCCTCTTACCTGGTGGCAACAACGTCTGCACACAAATCATCAGGTGAGATACTTGCTTACTGGCACTTTCTTTAAACCTAAAGATCACATACTGAACATCAGCCTTTCTTCTAGTTATGCCTTCGCGTACTTGGAGTCCTATCACGTGACAAGAGACCAGCGCTACACCTACGGCTGTGGCTGGTTTGGATGGTGGAGGTGTACTGGATGGAGGTTAGCAAAACATGCAGAACAAAGAGTTTTATCGATACTGTACTATAGTTGGAATTTTATTAAAATAAACTGAAAACAGAAATAACGGGAAAGAAATTTAGGACAGAGGGAAGGACAAAAACATGTTCTCGTATTGGGGATTTTTAAAAAACGACAATTCACATTCAACTTGCAGTAATACCTGAATAGTAAAACGAAAACAAAAATTCATTAAAGCACGATCGTCGTTTTTTGTTTCGTTTTCAGGCGTATCTACAACAAGGCCTATCGAACAGCCTACCGACAGAGTTACAGGATCAGTTACATCTGTTGTCCAGGGTTCGACAATCCACCACACAGTGGCCATTGCTCCATTAGTAAGTAGCTTAAATCTTCTGTATATCTAACCTTTGATAAGCTAGTCTATTCCAGTTTTTTCCTTTCTATTTTCTTTTCCTAAAAATGGATGTAAAAAAATGCCAATATGACAATGAGAAATTCGATTTTGATTTCGTGTAAGTCAGTACGTCACTGCTTGCGCGCTAGTTTTATAAACGCATCCCACATGGAAAGGAGTAACTATGGACTCTAAGTTATCAAAACAAACAAACAACATATTGGGTATGCTGATCATACAAGGGGTTAATCATTTATGATCTAGGGACCGATTAATCTCTCCCTTAAGCTTCGGCCGACCTTCCTGATCAGTCTGTAATTCCATGGATAGCGGTGTCGGGGCCGAAATCTCCGGCGTAGCCGCAAATGCTTCGCGCTGCTGGTTTTCGTTACTATGGTAACGCCTTTGCACATTTGATCATATTCACATGTTAAAGTCGCGCTTAATAAATATCAAATATTATTATTTTTAACGCCGATTTAGCTAAATCATGTCAAGTAAAAACCTCGAGAGTTTACGAAGCGTCGTTCATTATTGATTTATATTTTATCGTATAAGAAATAAATGCAATTAAATGCTTTGATATTTTTTTCGAAGATATTGACGAGTGTGCCAGTACTCCCTGCCAAAACAATGGTACATGTATCGACAGAGTGAATGGATATCAGTGTAACTGTACTGCTGGCTTCAATGGATCACAATGTGAAATAAGTAAGTAAAGAGAGTTGGGGAATGAACTGATGAAATAAGGAGTAAAATGATCATGTGATCCTCGTGGAATACCAAGCAACTTATTCAGCTGCAAACTTTAACACTCAGAAATGTTTTTGTACGCTTACTCGATTCTATGAAACGAACAAATTCACAGTTTAAAAAAATTATAGGCATACTGAATGAATGGATGAAGAAATAAATAAATGAACGAACGAACGAACGAACGAACGAACGAACGAACGAACGAACGAATGAATAAAAAAGGGTTCACTAAAGGCGCGGACACACGGTACGACATCGAGCGCAATATTTCAGGTAATATTACTGAATTAAGATCGTTTTCTACTTCAACAAAATTGCGTCATGTAACAAGGTTTGCGACATCGATTGCCTGCAACATTGCGCGTAAGTTTTGCACCTGTGCACGTAGCTTGAACGAATGAATTAATTAATTAATTAACGGGATCTAACGTCATTGGTCTATCTATTTTCGTAGATATTAACGAATGTTCTAGCAACCCGTGTTTGAATGGAGGATCATGTTTTGATCAAGTCAATGGTTACATGTGCGCATGTGCAGCAGGATACACAGGAGTCCATTGCGAAACAGGTAAGAGTAGACTAACCAGTGCATCCAATGAGATGGAAAGTATCTTATAAGACGTCTAGACACAGAGAGTGTGTGGGCTATAGTTTCAAGCTCCACAAACAGCTCAGTCATTAGATGGCTGTCGTGTTAACCTAGTAAAGGCGCTATCGTCCCTTCAAGCTCAGCTCAAATATCTTACAGTTCAACAGACTGTAAAGAGCTCAAAAAACCTTTAAATTTTATTGATGAACTGAAACAACATTTTTGCTGATCCAAGTCAGATCATGGGCTAACTCATAAATCAGATTGATATTTACTGTGTTTGACTTTACGGAGGGAGAAAACCCCTCAAATCAAAGGAAAGACTTAATAAACTCTACTCACATATAATGCTGAGTCCAGGAACTGAAGTCGAAACCCCAGATGTGAGAGGCGAGTACACTTGATACCCACCATTGATCGAGATGTTGAGAAGAAAAGAGCTTCATCCTGGAAGGGAAAGGTGCACTAGCATCTTGGCGGAGTAAAGCTATTTAAGGCCCCGTCCACAATTTGCCGGATATGATTTGAATCCGAATTTTTATTTATTCGGTTAGGCCTATCGTCCACACTAGTCCGGGCGAATCCGGAACAATTCTTCACCGAAAACGATTTTTTTCGAATACGGTCTCCAGAGTGGAGCAATTTGAAAACGCCGGCTAGCCGTACTAGTGTGGACGGAGAACATTTCGTATCCGAAATTTTTCGGATACGATGACGTCATGATTGTCATGGGAACATGGCGGAAAGGCTAAAAATTCACCGCGGGCTCAATTTCAGCTTCGATGCACATGCTCAGATGTGTAATGAAGCGTTTTTGCCGCCTCGGATCGGACTAATGTGGACGCGAAACATTTTATCAGTTTATCCGTTTTTATGTGTGGACGGAAAACTTTTTTTTCGGTTTCGGTGTGAAAGTTGCGGATTCAAATTTATCCGGCATAGTGTGGACGGGGCCTAAGAGAATTTGCAACATGGATGTATTTGTTATTGGTAAATGAATCTTATTTCCTTCTACAGACATCGACGAGTGCTCTAGCAATCCATGTCTGTATGGAGCATCATGTCACGATCACGTTGACGGCTATACCTGCACTTGCGCCGGGGGGTATACGGGAACGAACTGTGAATCAAGTAAGAACTAAAGAAGTACAAACAATGTACCATGAATATTCTTCATGTCAGGGTATTAAACAACCTCTGGGCTGATCTAAGTCAGGGCATGGCTAACTCACAGATTAAACCCTGAAACAACCTCTGGGCTGATCTAAGTCAGGGCAAGGTTAACTTACTGATTAAACCCTGAAACAACCTCTGGGCTGATCTAATTCATCGAGGTAAGGGAAGGAGGTGGAGAGACATGGAGGGGAGGAAGTAAGGGAAGGAGGTGGAGAGACATGGAGGGGGAGGAGGTAAGGGAAGGAGGTGGAGAGACATGGAGGGGAGGAGGTATGGGAAGGAGGTGGAGAGACATGGAGGGGGAGTGTTACAATATTAGCTTACGCAGTTGTAATTAGATACTTAGAGAAGTGATTGTTTGATTAAAGACGCATAACTATTTCCCCACCAACACGAACACGTCTTGAAACATGGTGTCAGAAATAAATTGGAAATAACGCTTCCAAAGTAGCTGAAAAAACCGTCAAGTTCCTACT